GGGTTTAGGGTTTAGGGGGTTCTGAGTCTTGTGACAACCGCCCGGTCTTGTCGGGATGTGGAAACTGGTCAAACATCCGTGTGCACCTCGGAGCAGTACCACGCTTACAAAGCCAAAGTGACGGTCGCTTCTTGCATACAATTATCGCAAAGCTGCGGTCTTACATACATACATTCTGCAACTATGTATTAACCTTGCCTCTACGCTTGTGATGCAGCAGTGTTTGTTTGCAGAACATCTCCGTGCACTAACATCCTTCCAGGCGCACCAACGAAGCTTCCTTCCCTAAATGGGCATGACAAGTTTCGTGAGGTTCTACATTTCCTGCCCTGCATGGTACTTGGAGGTTCATGGATAGTTATAAGCCGGGTTTTTTTGTCCCCTAATATAGGTTATGACTAGAGTTACCCTACAAATATAACCCTACTTATAACCACCCATGAACCTCCAAGTAGACCTCTCTTGTTAAACTCCTGTTTGCTGCATTTTGCTGCAACATGCCCCGGCTGTCCGGGAAGCTCCCGCGCCTGAAATTCTAAACGCAGTGTTGAGCGTGTACAGGGTTAAACCCTAGACCCTAAACCCTAAACCCTAAAATTTTGGGTTAATTAACCCCAAGGGTTTAGGGTATAAGAGTTTACTGTCTAAGGTTTCGGGCTCTACGCGGTCCGGAGTTTGGTATAGGCTTTAGCAGTTTCGTGGTTTAGGGCCAGCCTCCAATCGGCGAGATCCCCTCAGGTTGCCGAGACTTTTACCGCGCACCCTGCCTCCCCAAATGCTTGATGCCCTAAACCCTAATTAATTATACCCTAAAAACCCTAAACCCCTAAACCCCTAAAGCCTTAAACCCCGATGCAAAGCCCTAAACCCCAAATGCAGCATCCCAGCCACCCACCCTTTTCGAGATGACCTTTCTTCTGTTTATGATTTTATCAAAGGAAACCAAGACCCGGACATGGCACTACATTTTTGGGGCCTAGGTCCCTAAACTCTAAGTTCTAAACCCTAAACCACGGGTATACAGCACTAGGTCCCTAAACCCTAAACCCTAAACCCTAAACCCTAAACTCTAAACCCTAAACCCTAAAGCCCTAAGCCCTAAACCGTACGGCCCCCGGGCCCCAGCTACCTAGATTTTCGGTCCTTGGAGGCATGTGGGCTTAGGGTCTATTTTAGGGTTTAGGGTTTAGGGTTTAGGGGTTTACCTTAACCCTATAAAACCTTCCTCAGGGTGTAGGTTTTAGGGATAGGGTTTCTTGTTTTGATTTCTTCATATAAGTCCAGAAACAGTTGGTTCTGTGGGCTCCAGGTAAGGGTTAAACGAGTTCGTCAGGTTCACGTATGCTTACTCGCGACCCTAAAGCCCAAACCCTAAAACCTAAAGACGATTTTCTGGCTCACAGATGCTTTCGCTCTTCTGTCACGTGGGTAGCTCTCTAAATTTGGTCCCTCTTAGGTCCCCAAAATTAGTGCGGCCTTTTTAGAAATAGGACCCAAAAAGGGGCCCCAATTAAGATCGAAGTTGCGATGCATTTTGTTACCATGAGCCCGAAACCTCGAAATTGACACCCTGCTACTAAACCTTGAACCATAAACCCTGTACCCTAAACTACCCTAAACGCTCCCTCAACCCTCAAGTGACAAGCAAGGCCAAGAAGAGGGCTTCTGGGTGGAGGTCGGCGCAGAGGGCAGTCTCTCGGTTTACCGGTGCCAGGACTACAGACACTGTCCAGAAGGCGCTCAGTGCTTTGAGGGTTCAGGGTATAGGGTATACCTTAAAGTGCCAAACCCTACTTTTTGTAGGTTCTTATTCTAAACCCTAATATGGAATTTATAGGGACCCTACAAACAAGTAGCTTTTGGTAGGTTAAGGTAGGACTTGGGGTAATTATTGGGTTTAGGGTTTCATCACCGGGTCCTCGCCCTTCCAAAATCCCCGAATTAAGGAATATGGGGGGTTTCCCGGTTTAGGGTTTAGGGTTTAGGGAAATAAGGGGTACCTTATTTGGGGGGTTCTGACAATAAGGATCCTACTATTTAGGGTACTAGATTCGGGTCCCTATTTTCGGAAACCCCCACATAGGAACGTGGGACCCTAAACCCTAAACCCCAATAAACCCTAAACCCCTATAAACCCTAAACCCTAAACCCTTAAACCCCTAAACCCTAAACCCCTAAATCATGTTGAGGATCCTGCTGTATGTTCCTTAGCTAAGAGATGTTGGAAGGCGCTCAGTGTTTGTTTCCTGCCACATGCCCTCAAAGCCCCCGGGTTTAGGGTTTAGGGTTTAGGGTTTAGGGTAGGGTGTACCTAAACCATCAAGAATCCACTTTGTTTAGGGTTCTTTATTATGACTTCCTGATACAAGTCCTTATGGCGCTAGGGTCTTAGGGTCTATCAGGGTTCCGTGTCCCCGAACCGTAGACCCGAAAGCTAAACCCCTAAACCCTTAACCCCTAAACCCTAAAACCCTAAGCCCTAACCCTAAACCCTAACCCTAAACCCCTAAACCCTAAGCCCCTAAACCCTTAACCCCTAAACCCCTAAATCCTAAACCCTAAAACCCAAACCCTAAACCCTAAACCGCTGAAGGCCCTGAGCCCTGAAGAGATGATCCGCCATTGGAGCCTGCTGGTCCCAGGCGTAGTTGAACTGCCGAGC